AACCAGGTCCTGAAACTATGGTTTGATCTTTGTGTGATCTCATTATTAATAATTTAATCAAATCCATCGTCCAAGCTCAAATGGCATTGGGAACTGCTTAATTTAAACGTTAAAAAGTCTGCTTTTGATCCTGTGTATTGCCACACAAGAAGAGAAAAAAGGGAAAGACTTCATAAGACCTAAGCTTTGGCACACAATAGGAAAATGATTTTTCATGATGTCTGAACCAGATCATTGGCTATATCTCTGGCTATATCTTGTGATAATGCCTATAGCACCTTCAATCAGGTCCAGTTTGGTGAACTGGCTTACATATTCTCTCAACCCATGAGTTGAGAACAGAGTTAGAACTGACTGGCTATTTCCAAGGTGTCAGGGGAGGGGGCGGGGAATGATGAAACAAGCATTGCACCATCACAATGCACCTTCTGCCCCTTTTGTATATGTGTTGTGACACTGCAAGAGCTATCAGGCCAATCACTACACAATTACTGAAAAACAGATGTGAATAAATGACCAGAGAGTCTTTGCAGAGCAGAATTTCAAAACTATCCTTTTATGTTAAATAATACTGATAGCAAATACATGTTTACTCATTTATTCAGGTTTGTATATCTAGAGTAATCCCCTAAGTACATTTAAGAACCATTGAATTAGAATGTTGGGATCTCCTCACCTCTGTTGTTTTACTAATTGTGTAGTAACTGGCCTGATAGCTCTTGTAATTCAGCAAATTAATTTTGCATCTTCTAGATCTCTCCTAATATCTCATTATTTTTATAATGTTTTAATATATTTAACTTTTTAAAAAGAAACTTATATAATTCTGGTCACTGACCATTCTGAAAGCAATCTGTTTTACATGTAAGAGAAGGAATATATTTTGAGAGACTTACTTTCTAGCAGTTCTACAACAATAATAGGATCTGTAGCATCTTCAAATACCTACAAGAATAGAAGCAAAAAAAAAAAAAGGACAATAGTAAAACTATTAGAAATAGCAATTTGTTCAAGAAAACTTTATCTGATTAATATTAATCCTTTCAGACTTTATTTATTCAATTCATTAAAATTAAATAAACATAAATATTAACAAAGTGTCAATACAGAACCTTTCGTCCTAATGAAGGAAATCCAAAATACCCTTCAGTGTCATCAATCAGATAAAATAACAATTGCTAAATAACATAGTCTGAATTACTAAGTTTGATTCTGGCTTGCAGATATTGTGATAGGAATTTGCCCTCATTAAACATTAAAATAAACTACGGTTAATTCCTATTCATAAAGCATGTCAGCATCCTAAAACGAACCACCAAAATAGCCATATTACATGACAACCTTTGCGTGATGGGTGGAAAGCAAGACCTTTGGCCAAAGTTGAGCCATCTAAAAAGAGAGTGAGAGTGTTTACTCACTTTGAACATTAAAATAAACTACGGTTAATTCCTATTCATAAAGCATGTCAGCATCCTAAAACGAACCACCAAAATAGCCATATTACATGACAACCTTTGCGTGATGGGTGGAAAGCAAGACCTTTGGCCAAAGTTGAGCCATCTAAAAAGAGAGTGAGAGTGTTTACTCACTTTGAAAAGGACTGGCTCTGAGGACACAGTTTTTGCCTCCTGCTCTCATCCTGCCTCCCTCAAAAACTGATGGAGATGGGAGGGGTACTGGGCAAGCAGCTGCCGCATCACTGCAGGAGCCACTGGGTAGCCTGAGGCAGAAAGCGGCACCAGAGAGCTCCCACAGCAGCCTCTGAGGCCCAAACGCATTCTAGAAAAATGAGGGTGGCAATCACTATACAGATGTCTTACCTGATATTTATATTCAGCGAGCAGAATTTTGAACGACACTCACTTGAAATGTTTACCAAAAAACACTGCAAGCCCTGGATTCCAACAAAGGGCCCAAAGACATCTGCAGGGGAGGGGTTAAAAAATTCAAGATGGCAGCCATGACCTCATGTTCAAAGTCCCAGCTCTTTTTTACTTATATTGCTCACACAACATACATAAAACCGGGGTGGGGCTTTGATCACATAGTTGGTGCCACCATCTTGAATTTTTGATTCCCCCTCCCCGCAGACACTCCTATTTGAGGCCCACTGAAAATTCCTTTGGTGCCTGCTAAGCTCTGTGTCCCATGTGATTTTATTTTCATTATTCTACCTTTAGAAAAATGGGATGGTAACATACTACAAAGCAAAACATCATCCTCAAGCATTATCTGCATGTTTGGCAATGCCAGCAGGCCCCAGGTAGAACCCCAAGGCTTCCTTTTAGTAAATAAGAATGTCCATAACTTTGTTTGGAAATGCACCTTCCTACCCAGAAAAAAGGAACAAGGTAAGTTGAGCCAGTGGGGATCACCTTGTGAGGCTTGATGGAGTAGTGGGAGCAACTTTAGCAGTTTTTCTTCTGGTAAATTGGCCTACTGTGGGAATCATGGCAGCTGCTTGGTAAAATTGCCAGTTACAACCCTTAAAATCCAAAATATGTCCTCCATTACAGAAAGGTTGGGAACTTTTGTGGTCCTATCTTTTTAGCGAGTGCACTGATTTTAGGAAGTGTCTCTTATTTCATACTATCATTATGTTATAGAGCATACTTTACTCAACCCCATACTATTGATAGTTTGCAGTTCCACAGGATTCTTTTCCATCTCCAGTCTATTCAATGAATGAAATTGCTGAATAAAATCATCTGGAGATTTAGACAGCAGTGACACCTTGCTACCTTTTTTCATGAAATCCAGACAAAAGGGCTTAATCAGTTTCTGCCCAAAGTAATCACCTGAGTAAGACTATGAACTGAAGTTAATTCCTGATGAAATGGAGGTAGCATTAGTCTAGATGAGGGATGTCCAACTTATTCTGAATGAAACTGCATCCTCAAAAGGATCAGGCTCATAACCTAAGGCAGTGTTTCTCAACCTTGGCAACCTTGAATGTGTGGACTTCAACTCCCAGCATGCTGGCTGGGGAATTCTGAGAGTTGAAGTCCATACATCTGAAAACTGCCAAGGCTGAGAAACACTGCACTAGGGGACTGGTAGACATGTTTATTATTAAAGGCTCAGGTATTTTCTGAGTCACGGAGTGCCCTTTACCATTTTAGGCTGATATACCAGTTACAAACTTGCTAGGATAGATACTGCTAACTTCAATACTCCATGCTACAGATCTCCTATTTAGATCACTACAATATGTTTTACATGGGGTTGCTTTTGAAGATGACCCAAATATTTCACTATTTCAAAATATAGTGGCTAAGACTCACTGAAACTGAGTGTTACTACATAATATCCCCATATGGCATCATCTTCACCAGTTCCCATCTTGATTCCAGACCCAACTGAAAGTACTTTACCTATGAAGCCAGTTTGGGACCATTCTCTTGTATATTCCTACCTGAGCCTTTACATCTTCAGTGGAAGCCCTGTTCCAAATGTTCTTAAGAACCGAATTGCAGTGCACTGCTACTGAAATTTGGCCTTTTCAATGGCGACATCCAGCAACTCTCCCCAGAGATGTCTCCCTACTGCTTATACCATTATCCTTTTGGCAACAGGCAAAAAACGTTCTATTTTAATTCTCTTATGTTTTTGCAAATAGTACAGTATTTTTTAGGCCATGGATGTAAGATCACCATAGAGGTAATTTTCAGATACAGAGATTAAAAAGATCCCCCGAGTTTATTTTTATTTTAGTCACCCTAATTTACTCTTGACTGTGCTTTTTTAAAAAAATGACTGGTTTAACTGCTTTTTATGTATTCTTGTGTTTTTATTGTACATCACCCTGACAGCATTTAGTAAAGGGTAAAAATGGTAGAAATTAAATACATACATTTCCACCATGGCTAATCCCCTTCTGCACAATCAACCTTTGCAAAGTGCAGAAAAAGAGTAAGAAGCAAAAGATATCAAAGACTGGGGATAAGAGAAAAGCCAAGGAAATCCAACCTAATCCATTTTATGCCTACACCATTCACTGTGCCTTTCCCTTCTTTTCAATCTTTGCAAACCAACTTTGTATCTTAAGAAAAAAATCTACCTATGTACTAGATGTGCAAAATAGATTTGAAAATATTCACACATCCCACATGATTATAGCAGGTGAATACGTTTCTACTAGGCAGAGAATAGGTTTCTACTAGGCATTAAGAGAAACTTCCTAATGCGAGAGTTATTCAACATTTTAATCGAACTGCCTTAAAATAAGGCAGATACTCTTTAAGAGACAGCTGGACATCTGCCAGAGATGTTGTCATTGTCCTTTGCATTACAGATCTTGTCTTGACAAGGGGTTGGGTGGGACAGATGTTCTCCTAGGGCCTTCCAACAAGACAGCTTCTTGGCTGTCTTGCTTGTGATCTTCCAAGAGATATTTTTCATACCTTTGGTTTGATTTAAACAGTGCTTATACTCAAATAAGAAACAAGGCCATGATATTGGCAGTTTCTGTTTCTTTTTAGCATACCTTTTCAAACCACATTTTCTCATGGAACAAGAGAGGGAAGACTGGAGGAAGGCAGTCTGTCTCCTTGCACTGACCCAGAATACAAACACTGAGATAAACATCGTTCTTCTCTGTCAAATACACACCAGGACAAGATATCTTTGATTAAAATGAAAAAGAAAAAGAGATTACAATAATCACGCAGTGGTCAGGGTGCTCAATGTAAAATAAATGGGATATGTATATCATCTATTTCCTACATCTTCTACCATTTGCAAAATTATGAATAGCTGTAATGGAACACAGTAACCCAGACCTGGAATTGCTTCAACACTTCCTTGGAAATATTTCCTATGATAAAGAAAGAAGACCTGTCAGATAAAATAGGTGGGGAGCCATCCCACACTTTGTATGACTTGTGACCTCACACAGGAAGCATTCTGCATGGCTGCAAGATGCTGTATGGATGTAATGGTTATATTGGCTGAGGGTAATGGACGTTCTACCTACTGGAAGTCATATGTTATTCTTCCATATGCAAGTAATTGCTGTGCTTCTTTTTAAAATAAGGGTTTTTAACAGTTAGAGGTAAAGGTAGAGTGAACATAGGATTAGGATTCTAAATGTTTTATGCTAAAAATAAATATGAGGGTTAGGATGAGAGTGAGATTTTGTACATAGTGGTACTTTTAAGCTGATATTAAGGTCAGGGCAGAGTGCTGGGGCGATGCTTCAAGAAAATATTCTGAAGGACTAAAGTTGAGGTTAGAGTTAGGGTTATGTTTCTTTGAATTCTACGATAAAAATGAGTGTGGAAATAGAATGTGAATGTTTATCCATAGTGCTATACTATACTAGTGATACTACGGTGAAGAGGGAGGGCTGAAGCGATGCTTGAAGTACATATTTATAACCTAAGGATGAAGACAGGTCTAGGGTTAGGATTCCTTGAACTGGGAGAAAGTAGTGATGGTTAAAGTTAGAGTTGGGCTTCTATTCACCCAAAAGTGAACTACAGTAATTGTTCCTAGCTGCAAATTATACATAAGACTACCATTAGGAATTAAAAAAAAAAAATCTAATGCTCCCTATCAGAGATTAATGGAATTTAAGCTTAAGTTTACTAAACCTTAAATACATATAAAAGTGTTGCCTATCCATTGCCCCAGCATTCAGTCCTCACCTTAATAGAAATCTGACACTGTCACAATCCATAAAATTGCATCCTGGTTTGGATTAAGATTCGTTGAAGATGAACTGAACTTTAGTATGAGGGCTGGGATTAGAATGAATTCTTATGGTGAGTGGTGGTCATTGATTAATATTACAATGGTAATTGCCTGCTGGAATAAGCATTAGTGTGAATATTTGAATTGGCTTTAAGATTAAGTTACAGTTGAGGTTAGCATTGGCTGAGACCTAGGCTCAAATTTTGCATGACAGTGAGCATTAGAATGAGTCCTTATGCTTAGTGGTAATTTTATGTGTATCTTCCCCCTAGGAATGATTCCTCCCCTTCACTTTGGGGTGAATATATTTTTATGTATGGGTTACAATTAGAGTCTAGGTGAAATTAGGGTTAGGATTGCAGGCAGTATATGCTAACAGTAAGCATCAGGGTTAGTGTTATAGGGAATTGTAATGCATAGAGTTCTTTTAAATTGATACTATAGTCATGCTGAGTGTTGGAGCAATGCTTTGGGAAAATATTCTGATGAGCCAAAGGCTGAAGTTAGAGTTAAGTTTCCTGGCAAGATGGTTAGCATCAGGATGCAATTTTATAAACAGTGGTGGTCCTTGGTTAATTTAACAAGTAAGATTTATGAGTGGGGCAATGGTGACAGAAAACATTTTTTTAATGACTGGTAGGTTGAGTTTAGGGTTAGGATTAAAATGCTAAACTTAGCCTAAGAGTGAGTGTGATATTAGTGTTATGGTGAAGGTTTAGGGATAGTGATAGTCTTAGATTTGTATTAATATTACAAGTGAGAGGTGAGGCAACAGTTAAGAAAATATTTTTATTGACACTGAGGAGAAGTTATTGTTAGGGTTCACTTACCTTGAAGTCTATGGTTTACTGCTCTAGTTAACCTCACCCAAACGCCCATAAAAATATTTTCCCTACCTGTTGTCCTAGCTCTAAATCTTAACTGTAAAATGAATCTGGTCACCACTATTCATAAAAACTCATTCTGTAACCATCACAATACTTTTTAGCTTAAGCTTCAAGAAACCTTTAACCCAACCTTAACCTCATCCGAATGCTTGTAAAAATATTTTTCCTAGCCCTTTCCCTGGTGCTCAATCATACTTCTTCCATTTCTTTTGTTCTGGATTGTGTATCAATCCAGAAAAATAATATCTTTCCTTATAAAAGGATATAATCTATGCCAAGGTTATTTTAAAACTATTAACCTAGGTCCAGAGCAGCTCACATTAGCAGTGCAAATAACAAGCAAAAACTAGCTTTGACTTTTGCTTTTGTTCAATGCATTTTTGGATCACAAAAATATTTGAATCAATAATAATAAATGCGAAGATGTCTTGGGGTACCTGTAAAGTGACAGCAGAGCTGGTCCACAGAGAGGCTGAGTTGCCAAGTTTCTTAAACTACTGCCTTCAGGTTCGACTTTTCACCCTTGCAACTTAACTACAGTTTTGCAGAATCGTATGGCAACTAACAACGTGAATCTTCTATCAAGTATCCCCTCCCCCCGTGAACCTCCGGACCCCTGAGGAACATTTCACAGTCCAGCGATGGGGCTGAAAATATTACCCGCTCCAGCTACCTTTGCAAGATTCCCCCTTGCTGGCTTCGAGCCCCTCTCACCGCATGGATCTGCAGCTCCACCACTACTTTCAGCGGCATCCTCAACCAGCTCTCTCCGCCCGAGGTCTCAGCGCGGAAAAGGGGCTCGGCCACCACACCTGTCCCGGGGAGGGATGGAAAAAAAGCGTCGCGTCACCCTGGAGACGCCAACGTTCCAACATTCCCGGCGAGGCGGAGGGGAGGGGCCACTCGGAGGCTTAAGTCGGAGCGGCTGGGTCGCCTCGCAACTTCAGGCGTGGGGACGATCTCCGACCGCGTTGGAGATGCACGCGGAGCATTACCAACTTCTGCTGCGCAGGACTCGCGCTCCGCTGCAGAACGCCTGCGTGCTGAGTTTCTGCTCGCCCAGCCTTCGGGAAAGGCAGTTGCCACCCCTAGTCGAGGACTTTGTAGTTGCGGGGTAGGGTTCCAATATCGACAGGTTCCAATATTGACAGTTCGGGAATTTAAATGCAGCTATTGCATCTGGACCAAATTGCGAAAGTTACTTTAATTAAATATCCTATCGTTTCACAAGTTGGAGCAATCCAGATTCCAGATGTTTTAAAACGAGCCGAGGGTTTTTTTTTCTTTTTTCTTTTGGAAGGAGTGGATTATGTTTCTTCCAAAAAGGGAAAAAATCGGGCCATCATAAAACCTCCGCAACCGGAGGCCTTCAAATTTGTCGGCTTATCTGCTAGTTGGGTTGATGGGAGCCCATCCCATCTGCGGAACACTAACGCAAGTCCCTGAAAGGCCGATTTATTATGCGCCATACATGTTTGCGTATTTTTTGCAGCAGAACAAAGAATCGGCAATCCGGTGCAGTGACTTCAAAAACAACTCCGTGGATCTTGTGCACATACGCGAGATTGCTTGTATAGCTATTTTTTAAGTAGGATGAAATTTATTAATCTGCGCCCGCTCCGATAACAAATTATTATTGCCAGGGCGTTCGCTGCAGACGCGCACGGAGAACCCTTCCCACCATTCACAAATTACTCAACCGCGCGCCTTTTTAGCGCTCTCCGCGGTCTCCTAGCAACATCCTCCCGCCCGTCAATGTTGAGCTCGTCACGCGATAGAGTCAGACAGAAGAGGGAGGCAGCGCGGTGAAATCATAAATAGGGGACGCTTCGTTGTTGCCGGAAATGACTTGCACTCTCGCTTCCGGTGGGATCCGCAACGGTTTCGGGTGGCCGCGCAAGTCAGGAGAAGGGGGTCTCTGTCTTTAGGTCGGATGCGACGAGAGAATGGAGCTTTGGCCTCCACGTTCTCGTGATATACCCTCGGGGCGGGAGGAAGACGTTCCTCAGCCCAACCCACAGGTACGGTCACTTTCTGCGTAGCAACGCCGCTTCTTTCACTACAGAGGTATTCGCTCAAGGCGGTCCCTTAAGTTTGGTCTCCTCCCTGCTAGTGGTGCGCACTCACGCTCCGCGCCCTGTGTTCCTGGCCGTCGCCCGAAGGCAAGACTTATCCGCAGGTGGAACATGAATGTGTCTCAGCCTGGGCATTCTGCTCTGGCTACTACCCTGACCATATTTTCTTTAACGTTGCCCCTTTCCTTCCTTCCTTCCTTCCTTCCTTCCTTCCTTCCTTCCTTCCTTCCTTCCTTCCTTCCTTCCTTCCTTC